TGTAAATGAACCGAACACGAACGAACAGAAATTGTGTTTGTGTTCTGCTCGTTAAAATTTAATTTGTTTGAAATAAGCTCGTGTTCGAAATTATTCGTTAAGTCACTGTTCGTGTTTCGGTTCGATTTGTACGAAATAATTTTTAATTGTTTGAAATGTTTGAATTGTTCGGATTTTTATTATATATTATAATTTATAAATTTTATTTTTTAAAAATATCATAAATTTTATATATATTATTATTTTAAATTATTATATATTTCGAACAATAACGATCCAAACACGAACGAATGCAACTTTTTTCAAATTTGGTTTGTTTAACTAACCGAACGAAAAAAAAATTGGTTCACGTTCGTCTCATTTACTACAATATATCAGTCGGAAGAACAGAGACAGTATTGTCTCCGGTAGTGGGAGGGAGAGGTAACATCGTGTCAATCGGTGTTTCAATAGCCTTATATTATATATATATATATGTGTGTGTGTGTGTGTGTGTGTGTGTGGTTATAGAAATCAAATTAATTTTCTATATAAACATATTGAAGAAAATCATTTTCATAAAATATTACTTATGAAAAGTATGTTGATCTATGATCAGCTATAAATGATTGATCAATAAATGAGAGATTTTAAAAAGTAAAGAGCTCTCTTCCTATATATTTTTCCTATTGTAATTAGTTTAAAATATAGAGATTAAGAGAACAGGTAATTTGTAATTTAATTATGAAACAGTCCATAAATATTTGATTAAATTAGAAAAATTTGTATAAACAGATAAATAGAATTTTAAGCATTTAATTACAATTTTATCCTTAAAATCATTCTGTAAAGTGGGCTACTTATACATAAAAATAATAGATTTTTTTAGTATTCTTTCATCTTGCCTATGATATAATTCAATTTTGAGATCATAATGGTCATACATTATTAATGTGATATACTTTCTACCATATATCATAATATTAGTTTATATTTAAGGGTTATTTAGTTACAAGTAGGATTTAATTTAAATAGGATGTTGTAAATGCTATTAATCCGGATTTATAAAATCTTGAAGGGATTAAATCCTGAAAACTGTTTGATATGTTAATAAGTAAATCCTAATAACTCTGGTAAATTATTTGACAACTTCAGTAAGATTTAATGAGATTTATCTTCTCCCAACCTTAAGCTTCTCCAATTTCCTTAAATCCTTCATTCAATGTGATTCACTAAATTCTGGATTTAAGGCAAAATAGATGGAAAATAGGGTTTAAGAATCTGAAAGATTTTTCAGTACATTTTTTGTCTTTTGGCAGGATTTAACATAAATCCGTTATAAATCCTTCTTAAAACTGGCTACCAAACAACCCTTAATGTGACATATAATGTGATTTAATCATAATGATCTAAGGATATCATCTTTGTAACTAAAAAATTTTAGAAAACTCACATAGTGCATTTACTCATATAAAAAACATGAGCCATTAATATATCAAAAGTAGTATTAATCAAAGCTTAGAAAATCAAATCAATAAATTGATTATAAATCTAAAAATAATGTAGGTTGTAATGGAGCAGAGTAAAGTCTACTATGACATGAGCCATTAATATATCATTAGTACTGTAACAATATAGGTCATAGTTTATCGCATATGGTGCAATTGGAAGCTACAATAGCATGAGTTGACCATAAAGACTATAGCTTGAAGCTCCGATAACAATTAGCTACATGGGTTGTAGTTAGTAGATAATGTAGTGACAGTTGATCACATAGCCCATAGTTGAAAATTGTAATAACATTTAGCCACATAGTTTTAGTTGCTCACATAGGTTGTAGTTTAAAGTTGCAGTAGTATCAGTTGGTCACAGATATTGCAATTGATAGTTGCAACAATCGTAGTCAACTACAAAGACTATAGTTAGTGGTTGCAATAACATTAGTTGACCATAGAGATTGTAATGAGAAGATGCAACAATAACTAGTCACATAGGCCATAGTTGACCAAAGAGGTCTTAATTGAAAGCTGAAGTGGCAATTGACCATATAGATCATAGTGGGTCACATAGGAATTAGTTGGTTGTTGCAGTACAATTAGTTAACCACATAGGCAATAGTTGGGAGCTGCAATAACAACTAATCACATAGATTGTAGTTGTAGTTGTCGTTGGCTATATAGGTTGTAGTGGAAAGTTGTAGTAGTAATTAGTTACACGGGGTGTCACATATGCAGGTCATAATTGGTCTCATAAACCATAGTTTTTAGCTACAATAACATTAAGATATATAGTTCGTAGTTAGTCACTTAAGTCATAGTAGGTAAC